GTATACTGTCTTAGTAGTTGAAAAATAAACTTATGTCCCACTCGCCATCCCCTAGGAACCTCAACTCCAATCAATAGTAGTTTCATATTTCTCGGGAAGGGGAGCTCCGTAGTGCGTGCCCATAATGCACAGGCTAGCGACCAGAGATGTTCTGCTTCCGGGCAGTACAGCAAACAATGGAACAGTGTTTCCTAAACATCCCCCGAACACATTCCACAATTTTGATCCTCTTCATTCCTATTGGAACTGCTTCGTCTTTCATACAACCAGGCATTGACTGGAAGTGCTAAAATGAAAGATGAACCACTGCATACTCCTGACCTTGGCCAATCTGATACTGTGTAGAGTTGACCATGGTAGCTTTTCCACCTGTTCCCTTGGAACATGCCCTTTCTTCTCCCATCTTGCTGCCAATATGTGGTCCAAATGGCTTGATCTCCCCCTCAGCCGATAACCCAGTTTAGTGGAGTACTTAAGTATGTTAAATCTCCTGGTCACCCTTGACATTCTTCCCTTGATGTTCCATGCCCATTCTGCTGGATCGACTTCCAAATCGCTTATAGATACCAGTGGCTCGAATATCGTAAAATCCTCATTCTCCACTACTCTTACCTTTCTCAGTATGCTTTTCTTCACAACAATCGGGACCTGCGAATCCTTATGGAGCAAACTGACCGTGATTCCTGGATATAGGATTGAAAACATCTCAGCTTCCACCCACTGTTTGGAGGGTCCGACCTCCTTCCTTATGCGAAAGGCTGCGTCTGGTTCATTAGTAGAGGTTAATGTTGCCCAATCCCCCGAACGCCATTTGTCTGGTTCCTTCAATAACCTTGTCCACTCCTCCGGGATCGACACAAGAATGTCATTTAGGTTTTCAGTTAGTCTGTGACAACCCCCCCTCAGCTCCCTACCTGTTTTCCAACTCCTCTTACTACTCGACCAGAGGTATTTCACTTGCCAAACTCCATGCTCTAACCACTTACCCCACTTGACATCCTTTGCTGTTAGTGTTCTAGGTCGTCCCTGAGCATCTTTTAACCATGAGTTACAGAATAACGGTTGTCTAAGCACCTCCTCCTTTGTTCTTGGTTCCTTTACTCTTGCCGGGAAGACTTCCGCCCATATTTTGAGTGATTGCGCCCAATATGTACCCCTAGCAGATCCTTCAACTGCTCCGTGTTCCTCCCCAGCTGTCTGTTCTCCCATTTTATCCTTTTTAGTCCAGCCCTTACAAAATAGCCAAAATGTACCCTTCATATTAGGTGTTTTATATCTGGCCATCTGACGTATGTGATCGAGTACAAGTGGGACCCATCGTAGGTGTGGCTGTGTTAACAACTTAATAATCCACTTAGTTTGGAGACCCCTTATCTGTTGTCCCGGATCCTAGACTCCCAACCCTCCCTTGTCTTTTGGTTGAATAATTTGCATCCATGCGACCTTTGATATAAAGTTCGGTTTCGTTGGATTTGCTGTCCATAAATACGCCGCTGCCACCCTCCTTAATTTTTGAAGCTCATGTGTGGGAGGTGTCCATATTGTTCCAACATACCATAACATGGAGAAGATGGAAGTATTTAATAGCAGTGATCTCCCGAAGAGTGCAGTATGTATTTCCGACCACGCTGCCAGCTTTAATAACATTTTGTCATCCATTCCGGTGCCATGGAGTGGTGAGGACCCGTATCCGCCATTCTGATCCTTAAGTATCTCATTGACTGATCCGACGGTAACCAA